GATTAGTTCATCTCTCGAATCCTCGGGTTCGAGTGGATTCATTCATCCTGTGACAGCCCCATAGGCTATAATGCAGTCCGTACCGGAAACAGAATTGATTAGTTCACCTCTCGAGTCTTTGGTTTGAGTCGTTCGTTCTTCACGTGACTGCTTCAGTTCAGTTCAGTATCGTACAACAAACACATTACATTAGTATATTATTAACTGTGTGTTGTTATTATATGTAGGTATCCTATTTGCTTTATCAGTGTGATTTTCCCTGTAATTCTGATCAAGTTTGAAGCAACCCCTTTACCACACTACACGCGTTATGGAAAATAACAATCATGACAGAAATTCACAAATGTATAAATTGTAAGAAATAAAAAGCTACAGTTTGAGACCAGAAATGCATTGCGTAACTGATTAACTAATTTCTGTAACAAATACGGCTGTCACATCATGTGACAAAAGAACGAACGACTCAGATCCGAAGACTCGAGAGGTGAACTAATCATTTCTGTATCCGGTGCAGACTGCATTATAGCCTATGGGGCTGATCAACGAATGACTCGAACCCGAACCCGAGGACTCGATGGGTGAACTAATCAATTCTGTTTGCTGTAAAGAACCTATAGGATGTTGCGCATGCGGGTAAACCCGAAATGAACGAATCCCTCGATGAGACGAGTCATGTGAAAGATTCGTTCAAATTGAACGATTTGTTCATGAACGGCACGTCACAATATCAAACCATGTTCAAATCCAGCATCGAACTGGGCCTTTTTTATAAACAAAACTTGCGAAACTCTGTTGCTTCCAGAAAAGAACATACTGGATCCGCTGTTTACATAACACTGGGTTCTTTGGGAAGCTGAACAAGGTTATCTTTCCCTTACAACCAAAAACACACTTCTTTGGAGACATTCTTCCCGAGCAAGTCCCCTACAGTGCTGCCGAATGAACATGTTGATGGGCACTCTTGCTCTTGCTCTGGTTGCTGTCTGTGCACTCTTCCAGGAGAAATGCCCATACAAGAAATTCCACCCTTTATAACGTCATGAAGAGCCATGCTTGAAAAAACTTTCAGAAACTTGTACAATCCCAGAAGGAGAGTATTTGGTACATAAATTCTTCCTTCATATGTCCAATTTGTTTTTTTGAAACTTTGGCCATGTTTAGAATGAGAATCCAACTCTTTAACAGTATACATAACTCAAAATGCATTAAGTAGCATTAGATGCACCGGGGACCTAATTATAGCACTTAAAACCAGGAAAAGTCAAGATATTCATGATATATCACCATTAATCAAAATACACACTGTAGGACCCAAAATGTAATGATTATTTCACCACTAGAGGGCGATGTGCACTGCAGTGGATAAGTAGGTCCCCTGTTCACATCTAGCGATATTTACCTTCTGTTGAAGTTGTATTAGACAGGTATGGGTGATGGGAACATATGGTTCTTACCATAGCTCCACATGTTTTTAGTGTATGTGTTTTTTGTTATTTAATAAATGAATGAGTCAAGATACAGACTGTGTGGACATTGTTTATTCCAACCTATGAGTCAAAAAGAATTTAGCACCCTGTCCTAACTTATAGGAAAGCCACTACACAGACAATGATCAGGTCAAAGCTGTTGTAAAATAACTGGAAAGCTGTACTGACAAACTATCTTGAGGTATACACAAGAACTATCAATTTTCTAAAAAATATTATTGGTTTGTGGCAATAATTGCTTTCCTGAGGTGTATCCACAATCCGTTTGTGTTTTCATGTGGACGGAGATTTTTTTTTAAACGGAAGAAGTTTATAAAAATACCCGTGTACGTGAGGACATGGCCTAAGCCTCTGAAGATTTCTGAATGAGCTTAGATGTAACACTACCATATGACAGGGCAATATGTCAAGGTGCTCTAGAAGTGAGATTATTAAATAAATATCTTGCTACATCACCTTGAAAATTATTGCCGGCAATCTTGAGAACATTAAGATTCTTCAGCCCATAAAAGCTGAATATGTTAGTAAAGGTGGTACTTGAATAAGAAACATCCAGATACCTCAAGTACTTTAAGTTAGACAAAACTGAAAGGTATCCGACACGTACAACAGTTGTATTGTGGAAATCTAGAATCTCAAGTCCCTCAAGTCCTCCTAAGTCAAGGCCAATTTCTGCATTACTACTCAAATTCAAATATCTGATTTGAGGGGTGCCAAAAAGTGAGGTGCAGCACTGTTTTAATCTAATTTGGTTAGAGCAAAAAATCCAAATACTGGAGCTTAGGCATGTCTATGAAGGCATCAGCCCAAATAGGTGCACTGTTGTAATTACTATTTTTTCTAAAGTATGGAGATGTGAAAGCGGTTTACCTGGCAAAGTACTTAACAGACATCAAGTAAAGCTCCTTGATTTCACGAAAACATACATAGGGGAGAGTGGGGTAAGATGAGCCAGTGGGTAAGTTGACCCACCCCCTGTATTTTGCCAACTGTACACTTTTATTGTCATGTGACCATATATTTTGAAACCACCCATAATTTCTGCCAGACTGTGAAAAGAAGAAACACACGGGAGGAGTGGAAGGCACCCAATTACTTTAATAACTGTTTTTGGCTTGTCAAAGTAAAATTTTAGCATACCATATGTAATGGCTGTTACATCAAAGTAAATTGATCCAGGTCTAAAAATAATTATGATGCATATAAGTGATTTAGCAATGTATAAAACCATGTAAATCATTTAGCTAAATATTAGCCTGAACTAGTAAGCAAGCTAGTTTTTTTCCAAAATGGCAGCTATGGGGCAAATTGATTTTATCTTACCCTACCATAAGGCACTGAAGTTAAGTTAAATCTCTGAAGTATAAACTGGTAGTTTAATTTGATAGTACACAACTGATTTAGTTGATCATATATACATATTATTTGTAGTTTATTTGATAGGGACAGTGTACAAGTGCACCAAAGAACCAGAAGATGCTTTTCATCACATTATAATCAGATATATCTTTCCACCTGTAGTCCCTAATGGCCTGTTCGACATTGCTGAAAAGCTACCATGCCAAGAATCTTTTGACTAAATTGTTCATTAGTTTCAATGACATTCCTTCATTCCAATTCAGTTTTTTATTTTAATTTTACTCAAACTCTCCGTTTAGTCTGCTTTTGGAAAGATTACAACTTTGGTGTTGAACATATTGTTTCAGAAATGCAAACAATTAAAGATTGAAATTTTCATTTGGTTGGTTTTATGTTGTTTACATTAGCTTTGAGAAAAAGAAATAAGACCGTTTGAAAAAGGAATTTTGATTATTAAGTTAGTTTTTAAGAGATAAAGTATCTTTAAAATTTAAAGTGTTTGAACCAGATTCAGTCAGATGGTCAGTTTACAACCAGATGGTTCATCTTACTCATTGACTCGGGTCAACTTACCCCCACCCTGGGAAACTGAACCACAGGAACTTTTTTTTATAAGAAGCCATATTTTTAGAAGCCTTTGTCATAGATACATTCTGGTCATTTAAAATGATAGGAAACATCCTGAAGTTACTTACTTTGTACTTTTGCGTCATTTTCCCTTATCTTGAGGACCACATAAGTAAAAAGTGGCCCATCTTACCCCCACTCTCCCCTACTCCAGTTCATCAATTAGACCTCCAATTTAATGCTACATTTGCGGCATTAATCACACAGCAAAAGACAGAAATTGGCTCACTAGGCTTCTCCATAATGTAATAATGTACCTCCTGGAAATAAAGCACAGACCATCTAAAAAGTCAGTATCTGAAAGTGAAATCTGAAACCGCCCTTGTGCTTTCCCAAATTTCAGCCTTTTGACATTAAGACCACATAGAGCTTTTAGACCAGCTTGCTGAGCAGCTGATGAAACAAAGGTGGATCGGATGTTCAGTTCTCTAAGATAAATGTCTTTGAAAGCTCCTGGTTCAATGTATAATAACGGATTCCAAGAGAGATTCACATTCATGTTTCTGCCGATATCTCGCAACACAGCAGTGTGATCAGTTTTGATGATGGATATATTATTGGCATGTAGATCATGTAAACTGAAGTCTTTGAAGGTGCTCATGAATGGAGGGAGAGACATGGACTGGATGATATTTGTCCCGACTCTAAGCTCCTGCAGCTTGGTTAGGTTATTCATTTGAAGCTGTAATGATGAGACCAAAATCCACAAGAACTAGTATTTATAGATTATGTAAAGAATTCAAGCATTCAGGTCCAAAAATATGTAATAGGGTTTCCAGTGAGAATAAAAGTAGTCAAATTCTTCACATTGTAGAAAGTATCATTTTCAATGTGCTTGATGTGGCATCTGAAAGAAAATACATAAATTTTATATAATTTATAGAGCAGCAATACATTATATAACGCATTTAGATGGTAACAATATTGCTTACCTTGACAGATCAAGGACGGAGGGACTTTGTAGAAAACGAAGCGTTTGAGAGAGGCGGGGCATAGAGGACCTACAATAATGTACAGTATTTGAAAAATAATGTGTTTTTGAACATTAAAGCATGTCAACATATTCTGTTACACCAAATAATGATCTTTAAAAAAAAAAGCATCATATGACCCCTTTAAACCTAAAAAAAAGGCACACAGAAGAACGATAAACATGAGCTACCAGCAGATGGCCCTGCACACACATCTAACACAAGGTCACTTCAGTCAGAAACTTCAATTTCCTGTTGACTTTGCTACAAGGATAACCTCAACAATTACTCTTAGTATAATACAATCTTCGGATTTTTAACAGCAATTCTGCAGATTAAATGTAAAATATTAAGTCACCAATAATGCGTCTTCCTCAACATGATAAATACCATTTTTTACAATGTTAAATACACTACACACAGCAAACCTTGACAGAAGCCGAAAAGTACTATTAAAAACACTATGAACTTGTTGATAGTCAACAGCCTTTATTTATCCATATATGTGAGCCACTCAAAGATGGGGAATAGACAAATAGGACAAGAATTGACTACTACCTATACATCTATATAAAAGGAAATCAACATATATTTACACATGATATCAGTTTCTCAATCCATTAATGATAGAGATGGGTAAAAGATACAAACTAGGGGAGTGAATAGTTGTCTAGACCTATTTGCTTAATTATCTACCATTCAAAACCAACTTGACCTAATACTCAGTTCAAGATTGTGCCAGGCTTCAATAAACTCCCAGCTTAAAGCACAAATCAGTAATGATGGAAGTTGTCTACAGTTTTAATCACACACCATGTTCCAGAATGACATGTATGCATCTAATCATGTGCACATTACACAGGGGTTTTCAGTGTCAATCATACCAAATTGAAATTCATTGCTCAAGTCAAAGGACTTGATTTTGTAAGTTCCCTCAGAGCAGGTCCACGCCGACTTTCTGGATTTTCTTGCATCTTTTGCCAAACTCTTTAACATTACAAGCTGGCCTGAATCATGGGATGAATGGTAGCGCACCACTTGTGGGAGAGGAAAGCAGGCTTACTGATCAATATGAATTCTGTGATGCCTAGACAGAGAAGACGAATGATTGAAACCCTTTCCACACTGAGCGCACCTATATGGTTTCTCACTCTGAAGGATTCTCTGTTTCAAGATGGTAGTGTGGGGGAATCCCTTTCCTGTTGCAATAGCACTATAAGTTGACTTATCCTCCAAATGAACCCGCTGGTGCCTTGCGAGAGAGGAGGGATGATTGAACCTCTTCCCACACTGAGCACAGGTGTAGGACTTTCCATCAGAATGAGTCCTCTGATGCCTGGATAGCGATGATGAGTGATTGAAGCTCTTCTCACAATGGTTGCAGCTGTATGGCTTTTCACCTGTGTGCATTCCCCTCTTCAGCGTAGTATCGAAGGGGAAATCCTTATCCGCCTGGGCGTACATCTTGGCTTCAAGGTGGACCTTGTGGTGTCGTGACAAGGAAGAGGAATGGTTGAAACCCTTGTCGCACTGAGAGCAGCGGTAGGGCTTTCCACCCTGATGGACCAGCTGATGCTTCTTGAGGTGGCGTTTCCTTACGAAGCTCTTCCGACACTGGGTGCACTTGTAGGGCTTCTCCCCTGAGTGGATTCTCTGATGCTCTCTTAACGTGGCTGCTGCCGCAAAACACTTTCCACACTGGGTGCATCTGTGTGGCTTTTCACCAGCATGAGTCTTCTGGTGCTGTTTGAGATTGGAAGCCGTCGTAAAGCCTTTACCACACTGAAGACAGGTAAACGGCTTGTCATGGGCATGGAGCTCTTGATGTTTTTTCAGATGGCGTCTGCGCACAAAGCTTTTTCGGCATTGGGTGCATTTGTAGGGTTTGTCATCAGAATGCATTTTCATGTGTTCTCGGAGAGTGATGGCAGCAGCGAAGCTTTTGCCACACTCTGAACATCTGTGCGGCTTTTCAGGAGAGTGCATCATCTGGTGGGGTTTCAAGTTGAACGCATCAATGACACCTTTACCAACCATCTCAAGACCAGTGGTATAACTTTTCTCTTTCATGTGAATCCTCATGTGACTTCTTAGGCTGGCTTCAACAGCGAAGCTCTCACCACAGTGGACACAAATGTAGGGATGAGTGGCTTTGTGGACTTCAAAGTGTTCGTGCAGATCAGACATACAGCCAAAAATCTCACCACACTCACTGCATTGCAGGCCATGGGCTTCGTGGATAACACCATTCTCTGACTCTACCGTAAGCTCCCCTCCATGGTCAGACTCCACCTTTACGATATGTTCTCCACCACCTATCTCCGTCTTTAACAGCACTTCACCGAGCAAATGCTCATTGCCTTTGATTTCTGCGCTGCTGAAGTAATGATGATGATCGTGGTGTATTTCAGATTTAATATAGTCATGGTCTGTCTCCGTTACCACATCGACGCATGTCACTGCCCCTAAATCACCGTGAATAGCCTCTAGGTCAAGTCTTTTGTCCTCTTGAGTCATAATCTCAGTCTCCGCTCCATAATGCAAGTCACCGACTTGCGTATGGGCGATGACACACTCAGATCCCAATGTATCGAGACCTGGTGTGTCACAGTCAGTCTCTGACTCAGCCATCAGGACGCACTCCAGCCTGACGACTTCCGTCTTCCCGGTTAAGTGAAACTTAGCGTTGCTCTACGAGCCCCGCTTTCCCGCAAAGAAACTTGAAAGGTTGCCCGTTGCAGGCTCAGTCAGTTCTTGAGTCAGGATCAGTCCTGCCTGTCAGAAGATAGCAATTATTTAAACTCACCTGCATAATCATAATGAAATATTTCAGCTCAAAACGTTTAACTATAGATTTTACTGCTTAAGAAAAAAATTAAAGTAAAAGGTCTAACTTTTTTTTTTAGAAAGTAAATAAAAGGCACAATATGTAAGATTTTTTTTATTAAAATATCCAAAAACCACTAGAACAGTGTCATATATTTTGCTGACTTGTGTACTTACATTATCCCAAATGTTTCGAAGAATGTTTAAATCCAGAGAAATAAGCAATTTGAACTAGTGACACGGACCGTGTCTATAGTGTCATTGTTTCACCTGCCAATGATGTCATACACCTTCGATTTTCCTCGATTTCTCGTTTTGTTTTGTAGAAAACATGGAAACACCAAAGACACTTTAATATGTTGTGCGTTTTAATAGACCAGTGACGACTGCACAGAGTAGCATTATAACAGAACTTTAAAATGTATCTAGTATGATAAAACAGTACTGCTTTTTCCCCTGCACATACACACGACCGGAAGGAGCGGAAGCGGTCGACTGTGGCATAATAAAAGCTCCGCTGCTTTCGAGCCGTGTGTCACGCTCGTTCAGCGGCCTCGTTTCACTTCGACGGCTTTCAGCCTCACCCTGCTTCATTCTACTACGTTAATAAATCATTAGCTCATCCATGAACATGATTTCTGCCCAAGTCCCATCGGATTGCATCGGCTGTGGCGATGCAGACGACAACTCCCATGATTCCACATTCAGTCACGGCGTCATCAAACTACACCTTTATCTATTTGTTTATTTTGAATACACGCCCTCTAGCGGCGAAAATTACATATTGTGCCTTTAAGTGAATTTCTGCTATTTCATGTGACAATTAGGCCTAAACACAGCTTTAATAAATCAGGGGGGTCAACCTCAGTTCCTAGGGGGCCACAGCCCTGCAGAGTTTAGATTCAACCCTAATTAAATGCACCTGATCCAGCTAATCAAGTCCTTCAGGCTTATTTGAAAACTACATGGTATGTATGTTGGAGCAGGGCTGGAACTAAACGCTGCAGGGCTGCGGCCCTCCAGGAACTGAGGTTGACACCCCTGTCAATGAACAATAGGCAAATTATACATTCAGACATAAGCTTGAAATCTACACAAGTTACGAGGCTGACACAAACAAACAACAATCAACATCCTTTTAGTTAGAAAAGAGGGCTGCATAGACAAACAGAACTGGGACCTGGACTATGCACCACAGCTTGCGAAAACATTTTATTACAAATTGTAAACAAAACATGAGGCTGATCTAGAAACAATCATAAAAGCTAGTTAGCAGAAATATCTTTGGCTACAATTTGGCTAAGGTTAGCCTATGTGCAGTTTATATTTGGCTAACTTGACAGGCTAGGTATAAATGAATCTATAATTCAGATATTCAAATGCCTCAAGCCAAATGAACACTGATTCACAAAGAAAACCTTTAAACATGCCATCAACTTAGAATATACTTAAAACCATGTTTACAACTTTCACACAGCTGGTTTGTCACTGTTGGCTAGGTTAGCTGGCTAAATAGCTGCTAGTTAGCTTCCTTGAGCATGTATTATCAGCTAACAAGCTGGCTAACTAGCACAGCTAGATCACAAAATAGTATTGAATTAAGAAGCTGACAGCCCGCCTTAAACTCTAAAGTTTACTCATCATTTGTCAGTCATACATACATGTCTTAGTGCCGTAAAGTCATGTAGAGGCTGATACAACAGCTTCGAGAAAACACAAGGCGTTTAAGGGTGGGCATCTTGTGCGCCAGAGGTTGGAACAGCTAACTAGCTGTAAAATGGCCGCCGCGACTAGCTTCCGCCCCTCATGCAAGCACGCAGAGGCAACACACGACGTGAGCAAATGCAAACAAACTAGGTCGTGTTAGTTGACTAGTTTTATGGCTCGCTGGGAAGCTGTGCTGTCATAGCTCTATAAAGTCAAGATGTCGGTACATAAACGAGACAAACACACTCGAGTTAATGGCTAATCACAGATGTACGCTATTCGCGAAAGCCCGGGAAAGGCGCCCCCCTTCTTACATAACGTTTTTGTTTTGTGGCGTCGAATTAAAAAAATACCATGTTCCCAACGTCTTTGGTGGCTGGATGCTATTCTGAAATCGTCCAAATCATTTGACGCGAGCATAGCGTTGCTATAAGCTGCGCTTATCATGCTATAGCCCTAGCCCATTTTTAGCTGCGTGAAACAAACATGGCCCGCCTGCCTGCTAAGCTGCCTCGCTAGCGGAACCTAGCTGCCCCGCCGCCATTGCTACAGAACACCTCGGAACTCCGTGACGTCCACAAGCCATCGGTAGCGCCTCCCGAGCGCCACTAATCACAGCGAGCTCGTAAAATGTGTCAAGATACAGCATTCGCCACGACGAATGACATAACGTTAATTAAATAACAACCTTGTATCAAATATAGCACGCTAGTTAGCCAGCTAAGTTAACTAGCAAAGATAATCTAAAAACCCTGATGCACCAACACATTAAACGTTCATATATTAACGTATTTTTTTTAAACATTTCCGACCTCTTTGCCCTTTAAAGGCTCTTTTGCGAGATGCGCTGCTGGTCGTCGCGGCGTAGTCAACGGCCTGAAGATCTTCGCTCTGTTGCGTCTGTACTGCCTGTTTGCGGCTCTCTCTCTCTCTCTCTCTCTCTCTCTCGCTGTACAGAGCGCACAAAAAACAAACATGCGCTCGCTTGCCCCCTATCGTCCTGGCGGAAGGCACATTCGCCTTCAGGCTGTGATTGCATATAGCCTACAGAAGGACGATTCGCAAATGAGGGCTAAAACCGGGGCTATTCAAAATTCTGATTGGGCTATAGCCCCCCTAGCCCCGGTGTAGCGCCGTCACTGAATGTAATTATGAACTGACATAAACTATACATGAATCTAGATTAAACACAGCTTCAACATAATGAACAATAGGCAAATTATAAGTTTAGACAAACTTGAAACCTACAAAAAAAAAAAAGTTACGAGGCCATAAAATAAGCTGACACACAAATACAACAATCAATATCCTTTTAAGGAAGAAAAGAGGGCTGCATAGACAAACAGAACTATGACCTGGGCTATATACGCCACTGCTTGCAAAAACATTTTATGGTTAAAAATTGTAAACAAAATGAGGCTGATCTAGAAACAATCATAAAAGCTAGTTAGCAGAAATATCTTTGGCTACAATTTGGCTAAGGTTAGCCTATGTGCAGTTTATATTTGGCTAACTTGACAGGCTAGGTATAAATGAATCTATAATTCAGATATTCAAATGCCTCAAGCCAAATGAACACTGATTCACAAAGAAAACCTTTAAACATGCCATCAACTTAGAATATACTTAAAACCATGTTTACAACTTTCACACAGCTGGTTTGTCACTGTTGGCTAGGTTAGCTGGCTAAATAGCTGCTAGTTAGCTTCCTTGAGCATGTATTATCAGCTAACAAGCTGGCTAACTAGCACAGCTAGATCACAAAATAGTATTGAATTAAGAAGCTGACAGCCCGCCTTAAACTCTAAAGTTTACTCATCATTTGTCAGTCATACATACATGTCTTAGTGCCGTAAAGTCATGTAGAGGCTGATACAACAGCTTCGAGAAAACACAAGGCGTTTAAGGGTGGGCATCTTGTGCGCCAGAGGTTGGAACAGCTAACTAGCTGTAAAATGGCCGCCGCGACTAGCTTCCGCCCCTCATGCAAGCACGCAGAGGCAACACACGACGTGAGCAAATGCAAACAAACTAGGTCGTGTTAGTTGACTAGTTTTATGGCTCGCTGGGAAGCTGTGCTGTCATAGCTCTATAAAGTCAAGATATCGGTACATAAACAAGACAAACACACTCGAGTTAATGGCTAATCACAGATGTACGCTATTCGCGAAAGCCCGGGAAAGGCGCCCCCTTCTTACATAACGTTTTTGTTTTGTGGCGTCGAATTAAAAAAATACCATGTTCCCAACGCCTTTGGTGGCTGGATGCTATTCTGAAATCGTCCAAATCATTTGACGCGAGCATAGCGTTGCTATAAGCTGCGCTTATCATGCTATAGCCCTAGCCCATTTTTAGCTGCGTGAAACAAACATGGCCCGCCTGCCTGCTAAGCTGCCTCGCTAGCGGAACCTAGCTGCCCCGCCGCCATTGCTACAGAACACCTCGGAACTCCGTGACGTCCACAAGCCATCGGTAGCGCCTCCCGAGCGCCACTAATCACAGCGAGCTCGTAAAATGTGTCAAGATACAGCATTCGCCACGACGAATGACATAACGTTAATTAAATAACAACCTTGTATCAAATATAGCACGCTAGTTAGCCAGCTAAGTTAACTAGCAAAGATAATCTAAAAACCCTGATGCACCAACACATTAAACGTTCATATATTAACGTATTTTTTTTAAACATTTCCGACCTCTTTGCCCTTTAAAGGCTCTTTTGCGAGATGCGCTGCTGGTCGTCGCGGCGTAGTCAACGGCCTGAAGATCTTCGCTCTGTTGCGTCTGTACTGCCTGGTTGCGGCTCTCTCTCTCTCTCTCTCTCTCTCTCTCGCTGTACAGAGCGCACAAAAAACAAACATGCGCTCGCTTGCCCCCTATCGTCCTGGCGGAAGGCACATTCGCCTTCAGGCTGTGATTGCATATAGCCTACAGAAGGACGATTCGCAAATGAGGGCTAAAACCGGGGCTATTCAAAATTCTGATTGGGCTATAGCCCCCCTAGCCCCGGTGTAGCGCCGTCACTGAATGTAATTATGAACTGACATAAACTATACATGAATCTAGATTAAATGTGATCTTGTCGTGTGTTGCCGCCATGGCTGATGTGAGGGACATTAAACATTAAAAGGAGCAAATATGGCTTCCTGAAACATAGACTGTGTTCCCACTGTGATCAGGGAACACTAGGATGCGCCCTTTCCCTTAAAACGTTTGAGAAACATAAGAACCAATGCTTGTTGACAATTTCTGAGGGAAAGGGTAAAGACAAATAGTGTTGGTATGTTATTTAAAAGAGAAACACAACACTTTAAAACTAGCTTGTGTATTTACGTTATTATTTGTCAATTTAGAAATCTAGAGTGCTAAGAACTTGGCTACATTATGCAGATTTAAAGTCACTGACAGGGGTTTTTAGTCTACAGTATGCTTGTGCTGTCTTTTATGAACACAGGAAGGATTCTGTCAGTGAGGCTGAATGAAACATGACACAGTCAGCCATCATTCAATACCTGTCATTCAACAACCCCATCTGCTGAGCTCCTGCCTGAACCTGTAGAGCTTCTCACCTCAGCCCCCTGGTTAAAAGTGCTGGAATCAAACTGTGTGTGGCTTAGAAGTGAATCTAAAATAGATGGGTGCATGTCCCATCCCATTTTTTCAGTGCCATATAATGTGTCTGTGTTTCACACAACTTACAACAGCTACGGCTACCTCTGCTTGCCTTTGTCAGTGTGAATGTTGGATTAACTGCAGGCCAATCGTGATTTTTTCATGACCGTCAATGGCAGTGCCATTGTAAAGGCAAGCTTTGTTGTAATAAGTCAACAAAGACCACAAGCAACATTTTGATGAATGCAGTGTATTTACCAACATTCAACTGTACTGGATGCCAATCTGTTCCACTTGTAGAGGTACATGAAAATTTTCAAGATAATGTGAGGAACTAGATGTAAAAACCTGTGTGCTTCAGGCTCACATTAGTTTATGAGATTATTAGAAATGATCATATTTATCTTACACACTGCAGTATGCATTGAGTGGTATGAATTACATTATAGTATGATTAAATATATATTCTTAAACATTGCTTGATTTAGAAAATACATTAAATTAAGCAGTTGGGTTGCCTTTGTCAGTGTGAATGTTGGATTAACTGCAGGCCAATCGTGATTTTTTCATGACCGTCAATGGCAGTGCCATTGTAAAGGCAAGCTTTGTTGTAATAAGTCAACAAAGACCACAAGCAACATTTTGATGAATGCAGTGTATTTACCAACATTCAACTGTACTGGATGCCAATCTGTTCCACTTGTAGAGGTACATGAAAATTTTCAAGATAATGTGAGGAACTAGATGTAAAAACCTGTGTGCTTCAGGCTCACATTAGTTTATTAGATTATTAGAAATGATCATATTTATCTTTGAGTGGTATGAATTACATTATAGTATGATTAAATATATATTCTTAAACATTGCTTGATTTAGAAAATACATTAAATTAAGCAGTTGGAGAATGTTATTTTCAAGTTAATACAAAAACATATGCCTTATTTCTCATGCTAACAGACTTATTCAGATATTTTTTCGAGGCCATGTCTGTTCCCCTGCAAAATGTAATTCAGGTTTGACCCATTTGTTTACATTGTTTATTCGAGGCAAGAAGTATATCTAACAAGAAAAAATAAAAAGAGAATGACACCATTTATAAACATTTTATTTCTGCAAATTACCTACCATTTGTACATAGATCAGAGGATTATTCCTTGTGATATTCAGACTTTCTCTCTAAACAACAAAGGATCCATGTACAAAAAGATGTTTTCAGGAAAAAAACTAACATTATTAATCAGTTCAAATGTAAAACTGTAACGAATTAAGTATATAAATGCACTACTTAAATTCAGTTCCTAGTTTTTCTTATGATGGGGTTTTAATTGGAAAAGGACATAAGACACAGTGTGTTGTCAAAATGTGTGTGTGAGTGCACAAAGAGATCGGTCTCAACATGCTTATCCACACACACTTTCAAATTCACTTTGTGGCCTCAAGACACACACTTTGAATGCCAACTTTGTGCTATATTCAGCCCTCACACTCACCTGTTAGTGTTAAACCACTGATGATCTGTCTCCTTTCTCTTCACACGGAGTTATTTTCTATCAGTTTACACACACACATACTTGCTCACAGTCTCAGCAGAGGTGTGAAAATGACCAGGGAACAGTCACAGGTCCAGTGTATGTTATATAAAGATGTAGTGCCACTGAAATTACAGGAAATTAAATTGTGTCCATACTGCTTACGGTAGTCCTGTTGGAAACAGAAGAAAAGGCTTCAGTACTTTTGGAGAGCGACGTAGAATGATATCCTTCTGAATCGTAATGAATTTGATTTATCTAGCCATCCTCTTCTACCAAACTCTCTTTGTTGGCAGCTCCCATCTGAGAAAAGCGGAGACAGAGGAAGAGTTGTTTTTGTTTAGCTTTTTTCCAGCCAATAACTGAATCCCCCCTCTGTGCTGCCTGACAGAAACTCCTTCAGAACTTTTTGAGAAGTTATTTTGAGTCTCTCTCTCAATTTCAATTTCAAAGTACTTTATCGGTACAGTGGTTTTGCATATAGTTTTACTAAAGCATCAACACACACACGATTGTTAAAAACAATAAAACATGTAATGTTAATAATATTTTAAAAAATGTACACTACCAACCATTCAAAACCTTGGAGTCAGAAACATTTCTTATTATTATCAAATTTGAAAACAATTTTTGCTGCTTAATGTTTTGTGGAATTTATTTATTTATTTTCAGGATTCTTGATTAAACAACATACAGAACTACCACATTTTGCTATACGTTTGATTGCATCATATAATAATTGCTGTTAATATTGTTCATCGTCTGTTTTATTACGTCTTATATTGATTTTTCTGTACTGCTGGTTCGTCTGGTCAGAGGAGAACTGGCCCCCCGCCTGAGCCTGGTTTCTCCCAAGGTTTTTTCTCCATTCTGTCACCGATGGAGTTTTGGTTCCTTGCCGCTGTCGCCTCTGGCTTGCTTAGTTGGGGACACTTCATTTCCAGCGTTATCGTTGACATGATTGCAAAGATATTATTTAAACTGAGCTGGATGTTGACATCACTGAATTCAATGATGAACTGTCTTTAACTGAAAAATGAGTGTTTACTATTGTCACTTTGCATTATTGACACTATTTTCCTAATTAATGCTGTTCAGTTGCTTTGACACAATCTGTACTGTTAAAAGCGCTATATAAATAAAGGTGACTTGACTTGACATGTAATGTTTTCTTCTAAGCTATTTTTATAAAAGCTGCTTAAATATCTTAATTTAACTAAGGCCTAGTCCTGGTTTAAGCTAAGCCCCATCTGTGAATCCAGGCCTTAGTTATGATATTTCTAACTCCACTTAATGGGCACATAATCACTCTGGAACCAGAGCAAAATGACTTCATAGCAAGGTGATCCCAAAACACGAAGATGCAACCCAAAGTCCTTCACTGCACTGTTAAAGGCATTCACACTTTAAGAGACTTCCAAAAATTGGTCACTGACAAAACATTTAATATATAATAAAATATTGAAGATTTATGTTTCAAAAAAGTATTTATGCACAGTCAGTACACCACAACTTTATCACCTTGGAATATTAAGGTTCTATCTGACATTTTTGTCAAAAAGTTATTCACATATTCTTATTCTGTGACAAATTATTTACATTATGTAATGTGTTTGTGTGGGGGGGGGGGGGGGGGGGGGTATATTTACATTTGTTGGATTATATAAATTTTTTACATAATATAACTATACCCAGATGCTGAGCTACGTTTTAATTTGCTTAAACATTCATGACAGGTGAAAGTTTGAGGAGTGAACTCTGAGGGTGAATGCCGTTGGAGTGGAGCTTTTCAAGGTTCTGCAGGAAACCACGATCCTTCAGTCCTTTAAGTATTGCTGAGTTACTGGAGGTTACACTCATATGTGTCCTGCAAATAATCAATGAAAAAGCTAAATATTTAATCTTGGATGAAATCCATAAAACATTTAGATATGTATCTCCAAATGTAAATAAATGGCAAGTGTTACTGGCAACCATGAATCCTTGAGCTGTACTTAAGAGCTTGGTTTTGATTGCAGTATAAATATTTAAAGCTGCAGTCCGTAACTTTTTTTTGGTAAAAAATGATCCGAAATCAATATTTGAGCAAGTACATAACCAGCCATTGTTCAAAACTATCGCCTTACTTTAGCCCGATTCACAACGGCTATCTTAAAATAATATTTTCTAATTTGAGTGGTTCGGGTAGGTTTTCGCGGGAAATTCAAGCATGCTGCCGCATTATTACGTCACGTCTGTAAACATAAAGAAGTTGTCCCGGCTACTAGGCTATCATATGTGAGGATCCTACAGGTGGCGTTTATAGCCTTTTCTCACAGCAGCTAGAATAATTAAATGTATCATTTTTATGGCGGATTGTAATCCAGAAACGATTATGTGTTTATGAAACACATGTGAATGTTTTAGATGTGCTTCTGATTACAGATAGTTTGGGATTACACAAGATTTGTATTTTAAAAACAACCAGTTCGAAGGGAGCATAGTTTGCTTTTTGGGTTAAAAGAATTTCTTAATATGAAATTCGAATGGTATGACAATTAGAGATTAGACTGTACAGAAATTTAAATCTACATGCTAATACACACTATACTCATAGTCACGCAATGCTGATGTTGTTAACATTAATAATTTGAGAATAAAGTATAACATTAATAATAATTTGCACGGTTTGATGAGATATGAACTAACCGATATTTAGATTAAATCACCATTGGTAGCGTGATTTATTGTAATGCTTTTTTCCTTAGTTGGTCAGAACAAACATGGTAGACTTGTTACTTACTTTTGTTACTTACTATTTCAGATGACAATATCCGATGAAAATTCTTACTTGAGTCATATATTCCAAGGCGTAGGCTAGAATCTGTGATTGCGAAGTACAGTAAATATCCACACAGTGACTGACAGCCATACATACTCCTCAAAACATTAGATTCATCCGCGCTGGAGCCGTGCACAACCCACACAAGGAAGATAATTCCGCAAACAGATGCAATTGCAGGTTTTCAAACAGAGATGGCAACAAAGAGGCAAAACTTACGGACTGCAGCTTTAAGTAGATCTTTCAATTGTAGAAAACATTAAAGGGATAGTTCACCCAAAAATGAAAATTCTGTCATTAATTACTCACCTTTATGTCGTTCCAAACCCGTAAGACCTTTGTTCATCTTAGAACACAAATTAAGATATTTTTGATGAAATCTGAGAGCTTTATGACCCTCCATAGACAGCAACGCAACTAAAATGTTCAAGGCCCAGAAAGGCAGTAAGGACATCGATAAAACAGTCCATGTGACATCAGTGGTTCAACTGTAAATTTATGAAACTTTGAGAATACTTTTTGTGCGCAAAGAAAATAATTCAACAATTTCTTCTCTTCTGTGTCAATCTTTGACGCTTATTTACGAGAGTACACGATGCATGCGTGTGGTGCTGGCTGACACTGGAGCCAGTGTTTGTGTTACAAAAATGAACGAAGATCTTACGGATTTGGAACGATATGAGAGTGAGAAATTATTGACAATTTAAATTTTTTGGGTGAACTATCCCTTTAAGTGATTACGTTTATGAACGACCTCAGACTAACCTTGGAGAGTCAATCCCACTATCAGCTGTGTAACTCTGACTCTCTGTGGTTTCTCCTGCACAGGCCCCTGTAGGGCCATTTAGGCTTGCACTGAAGTTGCCAGCATCCTCAGATGTCTCATTTGTTCTCTGATGGCAGTCTTTTAATTCTGGGTGACAGATCCAGTGGTTAGATTTGCCAGCTTCTGCTTCATCTGCAGATTTATGTATGGTCTCAGAATCGGACTCCACTTCGCTTGTCTGACAGTAGTCAAAAATGCTGCTTTCCAGGGCTTTGGCATGTTCATCATCTGCCAAACTGGATTCTTGTGGTCTTTTCCTCAGACCCTGGATTTCTTGTTTGGAGTTAGCACCTTTCTGAAGGATCTGGTGATTAGAAGACTGCCACCTGTACTCATGCGACCTGTATGTGGTTCTGGTGGGTTTTCGATGAGCATGTTCCTCTACGAAATGTTTATCCCAACCACCATCTGCACATACAGGCTCATGGCAATGAGCTGTGCCAGTCTGTGATACCTCACGGTCAAGAACGCATTCCTCATTCAGGCAGACAGAGTTACATCCATCCTCATCCTCCACTGTCTTTTGATAGATGTGATATTCATCATCTGTATAAACTTCACTCTCAGTCTGGCTTGTGTTTCTGTCCAGTGTTTGACCATTTGACAGCTGATGGCTAGTTATATTGCCAATTTGCTGGTGTGAGGACAGCAGATCAGGACGTTGATGAGACTCTTCTTTACTGTTAAGTAGATGTAGGGAAAGTCTACGTTGAATTGTAGGTTTAGGCCATGAGAGGGGTACTTCTGTTGTATCACAATGTGTAGCATGATCTACAATGTTCTTTTGGTCAGGAACATGTCTCAAGTCTCCACCCTGACGTTTAATTTCTCTTACTCTGCCATCTCTGAACTCCCTGTTTCTGACTTTATTCTCTCTCAGCTTAATTTTGTCCTCTATCCTCAAAGTGCTGCTCTCAGGGTAAGCCAAGCTGTAATCTCCACAAAGTTCTTGAACTGGTTGAACATCCAGGGTGGAGTCTACAGTCGGTGCACATTCATGGAGCTGTTCACAGGCTGCGTCCTTCAGTGTGTGAGATTTCTCCACGCTGTCATTGATTGCTTTGGCCCGGTGAAGATCCCAGGACTTTGACCTGTGACCTGGTCTTTCCCGGCGTCCGGAGGTTGGAATCTTGGCTTCTCTCCTCCTTTGTTCTTTATGGCTGATGTTTGTTTCCACATCTCTTCCTGGCAATTCCAGAAACGGGTTGTCTATCCGTTTCTTGTAGACACATTTTGGATTCAGACTGGTACTTTCTTCCTGATTGTCAGGTTCATCCAAAGCAAACTCTGCTCTGAGGTGAGGTAGAATTTGATCATCTGCCTCTAAATCTTCAGCACATTGCAAGGTTTTACACTTTGCCCTTTGTTTCTCTTTGGATGTAGGTCCTCTTCTCCTGCTGCGAGTAGCTCTAGGGGCTGATTTCTTCCCCACAGGCTTTGAGGTATAATGCCTCTGCTTAGACAGAAGAGCTTCAGTGGAAATGCCCTTGTCCACAGCTTTCTCCATTGCTTTCTCAGCTTTCTCCTCAAGCTTCTTCATAAGAACCGTGTGTTTTACTAGATTGTCAACTGTCAGATCTGGGTTGATCCGTTTGATGATGGCATGTTCTAGATCTCTGGGGAGGTTGTTTAAGTCATCCTCATCCCTGACAGGCCATTCCTCCGGTGGGAATTGTCCAGAGAATGTGGCATATTCTTTATTCGACTTGTTCTCCTTCTTACCCGTGTTTCGTCGGAAGAGGTTAAGGCCAAATTTGCGTCCAGCTTTCTCCTTGTCCTTGCGGCTTGTGTTGGTGGATTTACTAATCTCACTGGCCTGGTAGTCTGCCGTAGACGTGGACTGGTGCTGAATGGAAGGTTTGTGTTCTTTGGGCCACTTGAGGCTTTTTCCAGTGCACTCACTGATGCCGATGGATTGGTGATCTTGGACAGATGGAGGTACAATGGACGGAGAGGTGAAGCAGCAACAGGACTTACAGTGGGCCATGACAGGAACCTCAGTAGAGGTGTCCATGCAGCTCTCATTGCTCACCAGGTACGTGATGGGAGGAGGTGATGACAGGTCATTGTCGCCAGCACTCCACCAATTCCTCTCTTTCACCATATTGTTGGTAATGAAGTATGTTTGAGGGGTGACTACAAAGTAACCCTCACCAGTGTGATAGATCTTCCTCTCCTTGATAAGAGCTCCCAGAGCACTGTACAGGATGTCTTGAGTGGGAATGGTCATTCCTGAAACATATTATTTGTGTGAATATAGCGGTTTCATAATGAATTTGAATTCAAATAAAAATGTAATAAGGTAGTGTACAAGTAAGCACAGTAAAGTGAAACATGGCGTAATATTGTGTTACCTGGATGTGCTTTCATCATGTGATTGATCAATGCTTCCTGATTAACAACCACATTTGCGGCATTCATGTCCGATATGACGGAGCACAATATTTCAGACAGTGGAATAAACTGAGACTGGGAAATTGGTGACATCTGAACAGGGGACAGATCACCTGTGAAAAAAAAAATATATAGAACATGGTCAGTTGAAGTCAGGGAAATTTAAAAGATGTATTTTATATAAATTTTTACACATAATAGATTATAAAATATTCTTTAATGGATAAAGAGGCTCTTAAATATACCATGAGATTGATAGAAAACAACATATCCTAAAATCCACAGAGGACTAAAGTTTAATCGGAAATTAGATGGAATGATTTTACTGATTTTACGGATTCATTTGAACGATTTTTAAATTTTACTTGATTCTTCTAAAGCCTGGAATTTTTTTAACATTTAAATTCAAACAAAGTGTCTACGTTAATGAAGAGCTCAATCACTTATGTGTCCTAAAGCATAGGTTGCTTGTTTCACGGTATTTCCACAAGTAGGCAAGTACTGGTTAGACATTAAATGTTATTGGTTGATTCATATACATATATCATAACACATAATGTAGTAAGAACATATAGGTGAAAAAACATCACATATGGTGAGTCAGTGAATATTCAATCCTTCATGTTTATTTATTTATTTTTTGCCATATATCTACTGCCAGAGGCCTTTTTTGTGTGCCTCTTTTTGCTTTCTGCAAGCACTATTGTAAACAATTGTGAGCCTCACATACTTGGACCACTTGTTATTGCCAGTGTCTATTGGCTATAGAATTCCTATTTACACAATTAAGAAAATAATAATAAAAAAAAGAAATCAAATCACATGTTTGTAAAACAAAATATACTTGTTACTGCATTACTAGTTTTATACATGCAAAAGTAAATGAAAGAGGCATCGTCAGTTTTACAAGTAGTCAAAAGCTCATGCGTCTTTGGGACGTAACACCACTCATATTCCTGACCTGCACTTTTAGCTTCATTCATCTGCTAGTTCACATTAAATGTCTGACTTTCTGCATGCTTGGCAACTAATCCATTCTCCTTTGTTGTAGGGGAGCCCAGAAATAATAGTAAGCTGAAACATTGCCTTCCACTTTTGACACTGTTTTCCATGGGAAAAACATCCTGTCTAGGGTCTCAAACAGGAAACATCCTGTCTAAGGTCTTTGACCACATGTAGTTTGAGAGGTGTAAAAAGAGGAAAGACTGATGCATGCACTTGATAAATCAATCCTTGTCTTCTTCTTTAATTTTCAGGGAAGTGGTGTGAATGTGGGAACAGAACATCCTTAGGTTGTCCTTCGGATGTATATAATTGTTCTGATGCTTTAACTGCAGAAACAATGCTAGAAAACGTCTTGCATTTTACCATAAACATCTTTTTAGGAGTAAGTGAGTTCAAATATTCTTTTCAGAGAGAAAGCGGGAAACGTTTTGCACAACAATTGAGAGTTCCAGAATCAATTGAGCTGACGTGGGCATGTGGTTGTTACTAAGGACACATGTACCCTTAATTCCTCTCTCCAGGGAAACACTCAGGGCTCATTGTATCATGAAGCTGTTCAGACAACATTAAGACTTTTGTCACAGGAATACCTCACCAGATACCATGGCAGCCATGTCACACTGCAAACAGCGGCAAGGAAGATGTAGAAAGGGAGTGGGACTAGTTTCTTAATTTACAAATGAATATTAAAAAAATAACCAGTGGTTGACATTTAAGCATAAATTAATTATAGTAAACAAGATTTGAAAATCACATGTGAATGTCTTGTGCATGGCTACTCAAATACCCATTTTGTCTTTATCACATTACCCTACAACTCTTGCCGCTCATCACACAGGTCATAGCAGGCCACTTTCAGATACTGAAGTGACAAACAAGGCCATGAGATCACTTGACCACACAAAAAATAAATAGTAAAGACAATCATAAATTAGACAAAATATGGAAAACAAAACATAATTTAAAATAAAAATATATTATTAAATATTTGTAGACATTACAACTGCTACAGTCATGGGATCTACAAGATCCACAAAATACCACAATATCCTTATCCTTTATAGCTATATTTAATAATATTGTATTATTGTTTAATGGGAAAATCTATATAGGCTAATCTATCCACACAAATATTTGATAATCAACTTTAAGTGCTGATTATCAAAGTTGGTCCATTTTTTTTAGGACTGAGTTTATAAACTCTTTTAGAAAAATACCAATAATTGCATTTTTATATTTTTATTTCAGTTTTGATAACTGGTTTGTATTTACAAATTTTACTTACAAAAAAGGAAATAAATAAAAGTGTGCCTTTTCATGTCAAGAAGCAGACAGGTTAACCAAAACAATTTAATTATTGTTTGAAATTCTGTTAAAAACATCCTGGTCAGCTATGGGCGTCAAACTTCACAGAATGAAACCACAGAGGTAATTAACGTGCAAGTGCTCTGTTGATTCAAGCAACACACATATACACCACATATAAGGTGCTCTTCAGTGCCCATGTGCTTGTACTAATAAATACAAGATTTGAAAGTGGTAAGGTTCATTCCTTGTCACAGCTGTAGCCATTACTTACATTATCCGCTCTGAACCACTTTAAGTGGCTGAAACAACAAAAATACACAGTGAACTGAAGTGAAAGGCGGGAAAAAGAAAATGAATTAAAGGTAACTTGATAATGCCACATGTGTTGTTTAACCCCCTATAGGCAACTTCCTGCCTCTGAGGAATTCTGTGCTTCATGGGTGGCTGAAATCATATGCTTTTCTAGGTGTCATACACTAAAAGTGCTCAAATGCCAAATTAATATAAGTGCACTGAAGAATAATTAGGTTTTAAACATTTTGACAAAATCAAGAAAAATTTTATAGTTTACTATAAAACATACCTTTTACAAAGCCATCTCAACACTAAAGAAAGTCCTGCATTATATAGGGGTTATCTGAGGTTAACCTGACCAAGAAATAGGTAACATATGGTGGAAACAATATATTACATGTTTTGAAAGCCCAATTATTTGGACATTTTTGTGGCCTTTGCACAGTGATACAAATGTCTGAATGACCTTAGAAAGTCAAGAGGCATTTTTTAAGACATTCAAATTCATGATTCAAGGAAACTGGATAGAGCGAATGGTACAAACGTCAAGCACACTTTGACTTTAGTAGACTTCTCAATGGAAATGAGTATATGTTTGATTTAGAAAAAGATATATCTTATTCACATAAAGAAAAAAACACACAAGTTCTTCACATTAAAACTTTGACTCTTAAAAGCAACTTGCAAAGAGAAACATGCACATCCATGCACCACGCTCTCTTTCAGATCTCCAGACATGCCCCATAGCCACCTGAAAGTTATGAGGTACTTTAAAAGACCGAGCCCCAACCTCCTAAAACGCCCTCTTAAAACGTACCTGAAACACGATACTCTATCATAACATCACTTCAACTCTTTTACCGCCAAAAAAATTATGCATGCATGATTACATTTTCACACAGAGGTCAAAAACAGGGCGATGCATCTATGCCTCAGATACATAACAGTTAAAGCTTCTGTGGAGATGGTTGAGTTCTCCTTGAGTTCTTCCACTGGGAACTGAAACATTAATCCCAGTAAGCGTTCATGCCTTCAGACCATGCCAGTCACTGGCCCTAATGCTGGGACGCTCTATTAACACGAAAAACAATGAAGCAAGCAGAGTCATATGTTGCACACTTTCATTCCAGTCTTTGCTTTTTCAGTTTTGCATGCTGTTGGTGGACTAATGAAAATGTTTTGTGCTGTCATTAGTAGCTGTAGGGTTCCTGGTCACACCTTTTACTATGAAGGTTTTACAATGCTTTGCCTGCCATGTTAAAAAGGCCTATAAATCCAAAGAGGCCCTAAACTTTTATCCCTTTCAGCCACTCACAAACATTCTTGATAGTTAACATACCTCTCACAGAATGGGTCTGGTGTAGTTTTGAAATGAAACACCTGTCTTAAATGTTAACCATGTCAAATGTTCCAAGGGAAAAATTAAGTTCTTCTAATCCTCCCACACAGGCATGATGGATGAACTCTTGCTGGTTTGTTAGACTGATTAAAAAGCCATTTTACAATGTTTACATTCTTCATGATACTCTGTGGACTTGTGCACTCATTAACAGAAGCAGAAGAAACTGCTTCACGCTGATAACAATGCTGACGAAATATGTCTCCACGTTTATGCTGTCATTTTGAACAAATGGTATGTGATTAGTAGGTACTTTATCATCATACAGCCGTTTCAGTGATGGACACTGACAAACTCACAACGTACAACGAAATCGAGTGACTAAACCAATATTTTGACTTAGTGAGAAGTCACAAAGACCCTCATATAAACATGTTCTGAAAGCCCCACCAGCTCGCTGTCCTGTATTGAAGAGAATAATGTTGTATCAGGTCTCCTGAAAGGAGGTCATTATCAATTGGCAGCATCTCTCAGGTTTCAAGCTAAAAGAATAGGGACCCTTTTGAAGTTCATACAAAAATAGGCCATGTTACCTGCCACAGGAAAAGCAAATGTTCTTAGACCTTGGTCAATAGAGTAAGAGTAACAAATATCATACAGCATGAAAAGTGATGTGTTTGGAATAACAATGTCTACACTACCATTCAAAAGTTTGCAGGTCAGTATGATTTGGTTTAAGAACTGAATATTTTTATTGAGCTAAACTTTATTACGGTTTCCACAAAAATATTAAGCAACTCTTTTCAGTACTGATAATAATAAATATTTCTTGAGCACCAAATCAGGATATTTGCTTTTACTGCCAAAAATTCAGCTTTGCCATCACAGGAATAAATTAAATTAAAAAATATGTAAAAATAGAAAAGTCATTTTAAATTGTAATAATATTTTACAGTATTACTGTATTTTTGATTAAATAAAAGCTGCCTTGGTGAGCTTAAAATATTTATTTCAAAATCATTAAGGAAAATAAAAAATGGAGGAGTCTGAAAGAAATACACATGGCTGGCTGCTCGTGGCAGACTTTGATTTGGGTGTATGGTTATCTTGGAAAACATTCCATTGGTTGCTTTCTTAGAAACATGATCCAGCTCCACCTTTATCTTCCAGAACTGGGCATGTACACAGCATATGTCTCTCTTTTATTCTGGCCACATGGATTAGATAATTTGCTTTAAAAAAGCTTTTAAATAAATAAACATACCTGACATGTTTATCCTGGAATCTCTGGCTGTGATGAAAGTTAAATTAAATTAAGTCCAAAATTACAGCTCTTTATGTGTCCATTAAAAAAATAAACAACCCACATGGTTATCCTGCATTCTCTTCTTGTGATGATACTGCATGCCATTTTTATGTGATTTATTACATTATAATAGTTTTCTGTGTAACTACACACATGGATTATTCTATAACTTATTATTTATCCTTGAGTATCTGCTTGTGATGATATCGTATGCTAATCTTACAATAGTTTTTTATGTGTAAGCTAATTTCTTTCTTGCTTTTATTAGGTTTTTCCTCAAGTTAAAGAAAGATATGCTTTCCTGTGAATAAGAAAAAAAATCATTCTTTTACAAACACGTTGGCTGAACTGTGCCTCCTCTGTTTACGGTGCACACCTGGAAGTGTTGTGGTCAGCAGTGACATCTTTGAGAAAAGCGCTAGGGAGCAATGACCTCTGGTGCCTTGTTAACCAAGAGGGCAGCTTTCAATGCATGAGAACCACGGGGTGTTGACCTCAGGATAAAAGAGACCATGTCACAGCTAATGAGCTGAGATCTGAGAGATGTAGTCTACATTGCATAAACCTCCAACAAATCAGGCTACTTTGGTAGAGGCACATGTATATTTTCACAGTTAGGTATGAAGATGTGCACTAACAAACATGGTCCAGCTGATAAAAACTAAAGTTAAACCAGATGGCATAGAATGTTTTTGAAAATATCAGTGAGGTTAATTGTGCTCAACATTACTGAACACCTCATTAGAACTTAGATGTTATACACCTGAGTGTGATGGCATGATCCACAGCTCCTCAATAATGCAGAGACTTCAGACAGCCATTGTAAGCACCTCAGATTTCAACAGACAAGGGTAAGGCAGCCTTGAATTTCTTGTTTCTGCAAATGATTTTTACAGTCATCATCCTAAACTTCTGTAGTTCAGTGCACATTATTCCTACACCTCCAATTCTAATCAGCTTTACTGATCAATGATGCATGAAGAATTCTCTGTAGATCAAGGCCACCGGCCAGAGACAGAAGTGTTTGAGCCGTTTCCACACATTTCATTTTCTTGAAGTTTCTTCAAAACTTAAAGGGATAGTTTGCCCAAAAAAGACAATTGTTTCAAGATTTTCTCATCCTTTTGTCATCCCCAACCCGACACCATATACCGTTATTATTTCCATGGAACATGCCATCTTTACGCTCCTCTTCCCAAAATAAATGGCTGTTCATAGTAATCAGAGGCTGTCAAAAAAAACACAAACATCAAAAATAAAATAAAAACTCATAAAAATAAAAATATCATAAAAGTAATAAATAATTAAAATATCATAAAATAAGTTAATTTGACCTGTACACTATATTCTAAAAACGTATTAGTCATAAAATAGCTTTGACAGAACAAATTAACCATATCTGCATCCAGAAACTGTTACTTTCTATTGCCGTTTTGGCTTAAACAACGTGCCATTTTTGGATCTGGACACAGATGCAGCCTACATAAAAACTTTGGAGGTGAATATTTTGTGCTCCATTTATAATCATACAATAAGGGCATGTGGGTTTGGAAAGACATGAAGGTGGGCAAATGATGACAGATTTATCTTTTTTTAACTAACAAGTCATGAAAATAGTGGTCTAAATCAATATAAATGTATTTATTAAGTTTTAAAGAGCACACAAAAGACACAAGCCTAAAAATCTGAGCTGAAAAGGTCAATGAGTATCATGAGCAAGAGGCTAAAAAAGCGCAGCAGACCCCATGAACAATCCGTCTTTTCACTTAATGTATACTGATAATCAAGAGGACAGAGAGGGAGGCAGGCTCATTCATCATCCCATCTGCTGATGGCTAATCACAGCCACTAACCCTTTCCTGCTGACTAAACACAGGCCTAGAAACACACTGAAAGTATTCAAAGTACTGAAAGTGTGTCACTTCTAAAGTGTAAAAAGCTCTTGGAGGTGTTACTTCCCAATGACCGTATTAACTTATTTACAGTTATATATCATTTCAATACTTTCATCAAACCATACCTAAATCATTGCCAACACAATATCCTGGCGGCGTCTCCAGACAACAATAAAACAACTCTATGGTACCACCCTGAGACTGAAACAAGGGACATCGGCTCCAGTAGCCAAGCTATAAACCCAGTTGGTGGACAAACTGGACAGGACATAACTCAATGCTAAGGGCTTTAGTGAATGGGCAATAAATTACAAAAGACACTGGGTCTGGGCCTATGTCCCCACAGCTCCCAACCTGACCTGAGGTCTTAAAAAAAACATTTATATGTATGAGAGTGTGCTTCCAATTTCCGATTGAAAATTAAACGAGTGAAAAAAGCTGTGGGTTTTACCTCCCTCTTCTCCCAGTTGCATAATTGTGTGGTCCTAGCTCAAAAATGCCCTAGCTACACAGATACACACTATACCCAGTGTGTTAACATGCACCTTCATCGCTTGTGACAGCAAGAGCAAATGACGGTTCTTACAATCTGCTTCGTGTTTGTAGTGGGCAAACCAGATGCCTCCCAGAAGCAGCGACACCCGAGGCAACACAAGTCCACACTGTCACAAAAGGTCCGTCACCTCAACATGTGACCAACGAAAACAATTTCATCCCCAATCAAAACACAATAATAATAACCAACATGAATTTTGTAGCCACATCAAATCAAGATGCCCCATTTTCTTGGTAGTTAACCACTTCGGCTGAAATTGAGCAGTGAGAATTGAGTCAGAGGGAGAGAGCGGGGTTACACAGCTCCCCAGAAATCATATTTCCTGTCATCTGGAAATAATGCACTTATGTTGCACGCACACAGTTACGCCTAAAGCATGTTGAGGTCTCATAGGGAATTGTTGGTCAGGTTAGGTTAAGAGGCTACCTTCTAGAGTGAACGGAAATGATGTGGTTTTCTATTATAGCTTGGGAAAAACAATCTGGGGCCCTTTTTTAGAGAGACAGAGGAGGAAGAGGCATTCATAAGGACAGTGAAGTATGTGGATCTCCTATAGAGTGGATCCCTATAGAGATCCGCTGGGAAAATGTCCATGTACACCACTGAAGGTTATATTTAGATTTTCTAATGAAATCTGTCAACATTAGTAAGGATCTTTGAGATGATAAAAAGAAGAAATCATTTACAAATCTAGTTTAAAACACATGCCAAGTTCTGAGAAATTCATGTTGGTTTCATATATTTCTGAGAACATTTATGTCATTTTCTACTTTGACTCTAAAACTGTCAAATGGTGTAACCTTCATGTAAAATGCACTCATATATTTTCTGTACTTTTGAATGCAAAATGAATCATTATCTTCAAAAAAGGTTTTCAAACAGATAAAACTTTTTTTGATCCATCCATATGAATAAACTTTAGGGTTACTCCATTTGACTTGAACAAAATGTGCCTTTTCACAAAATAAGTGATTATTTTTTTTACACATGACCTTGATACACAGTAATGAGGGTCTATAGGGGCCTGTCTATCTATCTATTTATATATTTTTATTTAGGCCCATTTTATTTGCCTTTCTTAATGCAGACAAAGTTTTTTTTTTAAATATATGTATTTGTGTCAAAGACGTTAAGATGTCCGCATCAAAAGAAATTCCGATACCGATATGGTGGCCGATATATCGTGCATCCCTAAAATTTACAAAAGTGATTTTATGTCCAGAAAGCACATTAAATGCAAGTAAAGTGTCTTCTGAGTAAAATATTCTTACTGACAAATGGGCAAAACCTAGGATAGTGGCAAATTTAAAAAATGTAAAATTACAACTAATTAGTATTTGGGGTGAAGGTAATTAGTCTTTTAATATGTCATAAATTGAGTTTTGTTGTAAATATGCTTGACAAGATTGTTACACTGAATGACATTTTAGTGGGTCTCTTCTGTAAATCAGGGGAAAATGTATGATATTTACATTTTGCGCAGAAAAACAAAATTGCAATTAAATTAAACAGAAAACTTTTACTTTTTTGGGGGGGGGGACAACAATAACTTAAAGCAGTATTACACTTATTGTTTTTATGCTTAAACCCTTTTTCGTCTTTGACCCATTTATATATTGTTTTCAAATAGAAATGTTTATATTTTAAACAAAGCCTCACTAGTCATCTTAGAAAAAAATAACTAAAGATTATGCCTTAAAAGATAACTTAACGTAATAGATCCGGACACAAAAAAAATTGTCACAATAATTGATAATAATTTTCAGGATTAGAAAAAACAAGTGTCAACCGTGCATGTCTCCTTATCCAACATGGCCCAAAGTGTTCTTTACAAATTTGACCATGTCACTCATCAAATGTTCAACCCCAAGCCTTCCCCAGATTTCGCTCTCGTGGGACTCGCGTCTGTAATGCACTGGTTCTGATCAAGTTGAGTTAAATCTGCAGCGTGACCATGAGCTGTAGACAAAGCCTTTAGAGCAGGGATCCTCAAATCTGGCCCACGAGATCCACTTTCCTGCAGAGTTTAGCTCTAACCCTAATCAAACACACCTGAGCATGCTAATCAATGTCTTCAGGATCATTAGAAAATCACAGGTAGCTGAGTTTGATCAGGGTTTGATCAGGGTTGGAGCTTAACTCTGCAGCGCATTGGCCCTCCAGGGCAAGATCGGAGGAACCCTGCTTTAGAGGATCGAGTGATTCCACATCTCATAACGACCCTGCAAACAGCCAAATGCTGATCACCTACCCACTGCTTTGATCGTGTATCCTTTGGGCGACCTCAGCGCCCTGCGCATCCACGCTTCCCTCAAAACCTCCAAGTTATTGGCATTGCCCTGGACGAGAAGCACGTAGTTCTCCAGCCATCCCTGGAAGGAAACTTCCGACACCGCTTTCACGAGTCTTTTATTCCAGAAGCTTCGCGAATTTTGCGATTTAAAGTCCGCAAACACATCCTGTCCTCTGGTGCTGCTCGCGCTGTATTTGCTGTCCTCGTCGCGGCTGAGAACAACAGCGAGCGACGCGGCTGACAGCTGGACCAAGCGGTGCTGTACAGACATGTCTGCCTTCAAATGAATCTCATTGTACATGTAGTCTCAGGAATATGGCCTCATCATTCGGTTTGCTTAATCCAACGACTGTAGTGTGTCACATTTCTGGAGAGCAGGACGCCTCGACTCTGCATGTGTGTACTTTGGTGTCTTCGCTCCCAAGGCAACCGCCGCTGCTGACGAACTGACTCAGGGGACGCGCGCAGCAGCGCACCAATCAAAACTCTTCTTTAATTATATGGGCGTGGTCGCGTCTGACTGCCATTGAAAAGCATCTACAGTAAACAAACAGTGCAGGGAAAATAGGTGGTTAATGGACGCTTTATGCAGAGATTTTTTGTCGTTACACCACAACATCAAGTAGCCTAGTGACTATCAAACTGTTTTGCTTTCAGTTTCAGCAGCAAACGAGCAAAATACATCATTATTCTATTTACCTACCTTACATTTTACAGTGGAGCTATTTTTTTTATTCCAGTGAATATTTCAAGGCAGTTTGTCTTACATTTTGGTTACACAAAATACTTAAATATTTCCACAATTATTGGCCAAACATGTCACAGTAGACCAATATGGAGAAAGTAGTCCCAATGGAACCTGCCATTAAACACACTATTATACATTAAACATAAAACAACTAAATAATTCATGAAACAGCAAAAATGTAAAAGGCAACATAGAATATCAACCCAGTGCATTGATCTTGCCAACAAATATTGCAATTTATACATTTTATGATTTTTTTTTTTACATTTCGAATGTGAAACCAATAATCGTTTTTTAATCTTAGTGTAAAGAACATTTTAATAATCTGAAGAACCTTTTTTCTACTATAAAGATCCTTTTATACATTTGAAATGTTCCATGGGAACCCCCAATGCCAATAAAGAACCTTTATTTTTAATAATCTAGTTATATATAGTTATATATAGCTCTTTTGACAACTTCCTGTGACAACTAGCCCCATTCTCTCCTACGTCTCCTATATCACACTATCATCAGTAATGTGCTGAGTGTAAGAAGCATGAATACTGAATACTGAGACTGAAATATAATGAATTATGTAACAATTTTCTATAAACAGACTGTTATTTTGAAACCTGTACAAATTCAATAAATAATTTTGACATCTGAAATTCATATTAGATGACTGAAATCAAACCTGAAGGTCTAACATATGACAGACAGATCAAGGTGGCTGAAATGTATGTATGACCATAGGGCGAGCGAAGGTCTAGCAGTGGAACAGAATATAGTGTTTTCTCGGTGTATGTAAAGAATACATTCCCTCTTCCCACCATAAATCATGTTAAAGGTGCATGACTGCACACTCTTTGGAAGATTGCCATACAACGCATTTAAAGACCCCTGCCAGTCCTCATGTTCAATGAATAAGACTTTGTGTCTTCATGCATCTGTGTTTTAACATGAGTCAAAGCATCTGTTCTGACCACAACCACATCAGGATTGGTCATTTTCTTTGTATGTATCCAGTTTCTCCAAGGTCAGTTTGATTCAAAGCTTTTATGCTCCGACAAAGAATTCAGCAGAACCAGAATCAACATGCTGTTTTTAGAGAAAGCATTTTCATTGTGTGTGCATGCGCGTGTGTGTGTTTAATATATATAGTTTATTTGCGAAAACAGATAACTCCGTTTTTTTTTTTTTTTCAAAAACCATGTTTTTTATTATGTTATTATAAAATTGTTAAAAACAGAATAATCTGTTTTTGCAAATGAACTCTTCATTTATTCCAAACACCAGTCATCACAGATGTTCTCATTATCTTTTCAGAAGGATTTTAGTTTTTAGTTAAGTTTAGATGTCCACAGGGGGATGAATGGAGTAAATTACCACTAGAGCTAATGGACTGGTGAGTATTGTTGGTCTATTATTTAAAACACACACACACTTAGTGAAAATCTTAGTATAGCCTATAGTGCGATGTTAGAAAATAAAAGTTCTTAGAGCCATATTTTGTCAATTTACTCTCTTAAAAATAAAGGTGCTTCACGATGCCATAGAATAACCTTTTTGTATAAATGGTTCCATAAAGAACCTTTAACAAATGAAGAACCTTTCTGTTTCACAAAAGGTTCTTTGTGGCGAAAGAAGGTTCTTCAGATTATAAAAAGGTAAGAAAGAGATGGTTCTTTAAAGAATCTTTGACTGTATGGTTCTTTGTGGAACCAAAAATGGTTCTTCTATGGCATCGCTGTGGAGAACCTTTTACGCACCTTTATTTTTAAGCGTGTGCTTAGCTTTGACAGTGATTTTCCTTTTTCAGACTGAAACATGACTCCTTCATTACTCTTTCATTATGAGTGCCCATGTACCCTCCTGCAGTAAACCAGATCAAAGACACTCTTCACTGCTTCCTGTTAAAACTTTATGGTGTGAGATTATGTATAAAAGGCAGTTAAGAATTCCATTAGACGTCAGAGAAAAATCAGTGTAGAGTGTTTCATCAAAATTAGGTTTTGACTGAGCAAATTTTATTTTATTTTTGTGCGTGTGTGTGATTTTCTTTGTTATGAAAAAAAAACAAGGAAGAGCTACCATCAACACTGCTTATAAATATTGAAAGCATTCATATGACATATAGAAATGAAGTAAAACACACTCTACAGTTTTACAGAAATTATGTTTATCCTCCAGTAAGCTGGTGACTCCAATTCTGAGATTTGCCCATATATTAAGCCAATCAGGGCACTGGCTGAACAAATGTTATGTTCAGAATGCTTTATTTTGTTTCTACTGGACAGTAGACAGCCTACAGGATCTGGGGTCGAATAAGCATTTTCAAAGTACATCTTGGTATGGCTGTAGAATAGGTCAATTATTTTAGTAATAAAAAAGACCATGTCAGTCAATATGTTTATGTGACATGCAAGACATTGAAAAATGATACAATATAAATCAATATGCCAATTCTATCGCGATTTTATTACAATATTTGGTTACACTTTCATTTAAGGTGTCCTTGTTACAGTGTAATTATACATTTAAGTACTAAGTAATATTAATTAACTGCATCTACTTACTATATGGTTAGAGTTAAGATTAGGGTTTGTCTTAGGGTTACTTGTATGTAATTATGCATAATGTATTGTTATTATAATAGTAAGTACATGTCACATCTGTAACAAGGACACCTTATAATAAAGTGTTACCCAATATTTTATTATATGTAAAGATCAATTTAGCTCAGAGACTCCACAGATGTATGTGTTGTCAGACACAGAAAGTAGTCCAGTGCTACACAAAATTCTTCCCAACTCTGAGGGGCTGTAACAAACATATTCCTGAACGTGGTGATGTTCACAGTAGAGTGAGAGTTTGAACCCAAGCGCTAGAGTAATTGTAGGGTGTACAGCAAGACAGGAACACACACAGGCTCCACTGCAGGTGCATCTAATAATGCCTGTTATTAGGGGTTTACATAGTGTATTGAATGTCTGAGATGATGGAAAAGTTATATCTCATATCATGTAAGCCTCAGATTTCTGTGCCGTGTCATCTGTCACCTCATAACTAGTGTCCGGCCATTGACTTCCATTTGCTTTAATGGAAAATTGTTTTAAAAAATAACTGCCGCAAGAAACAATCAGCCTTCCAAATGCCTTGTAAAATCCAACTTCAAAGGTAGCATGTATTTGAGGTTTCTTAGGTGAATGCTGGCATGTTAAAGGACTCCTGCTGCTTCCAGTGACCCTGCACCAGGGTGACTACATCCATGCAGGAACTGCCTCCCTTGGACTTCCTGTTCTGTGTTAGTGCTTTTCACATCAATGAGGGAGATATCCGGGTCAGTGCAGTGTAGGATTACACTAAAATGCACAGACGTCTTATTTAAACATTATGAGACTCCAGACATGTTTTAATGCAGTTAGATGAGGTAGATAGAAATATATACAGTGCTTTGTCTCAAATCTTCACTTCATTTTAAGCGGACAAATCATACAGTAATACATTTAAACGTTTTATTATTGAAAGTAATGTGTCTATTCAGTGAGAACACAGTAAACTGATCAAAAGTGACAGTGAAGACATTTATAATGTTTAAAAAGTCACAGGAATAAATTACATTTTAAAACATATTAAAATAGAAAAGTTTATTTTAAATTGTAATAATATTTTACAATATTGTTTTTACTGTATTTTGATCAAACAACTGCAGCCTTGTGAGCACAAGAAACTTCTGGTAGTGTATATCTGATGGTGAATCTTCATTGTTGATATTGGGTTCATATTGTACAAAATTGCTTCCTTTGGACTGTTTAAACTGAGAAATGGTCAGTGGCGCTCAAAATCGGCCTAGCGACTAGCAGGAAAGGAGTTGTGTTTTCCTGTGTTTGTTTCCATTATTGCCTGGTGTATAGACTGAAACATACATGGCGGAAAAGTTATTGTAAATAGCCTGCCGGTTGGTTCCACAAAGTATGTTTTATCTCCTTACCATATTAAGGCATCAGACCATAATGTTAAATATAAAACTTACAGTACTTAAACTAATGAAATGAAAGACTGTTACATCTGAGAAGGTATTAGAACAAGAACTCAAGGTACCTCAAAGCCCATGTCAGCCATGTAGACAACACAGGGGTGTGGTGTTCCCACTGGGAGATGCCAAAGAGCCCGTCAAACACAAACGCACAGATTTCTCACACTGTAACCCAGTATTCGCTTGCCTTAGAGCCAGGAAAAAGGATAAATTCCTCAACAACTGCTCCACTTTGCTTGTCCCTGGGGTAGTCCAGCTGACTAAGAACTGCATACAAGCGCCTCTCAAACATTGGAGGGCCTGGAAGCTGATATAATGCCGCTGGCACAGATGCCCTTCAATGGTCAAAAGACTTAAAGCGTCATGTAAGAGAACAGGTTTCATGTTTCTTTAACAGTTATGTGGAAGATCAAGTGAAGGAATGAGGAGAAGCAGATTCCTATAAGCGGTATTCAAAGGTGGGTTGCACAAGGTATGGGAATATCGTATTCACCACGTCAGAAATATGAAAAAATGATTATAACTTGCATTTACATATTTCTCACGTGATGCAGCACAAGTCCGTTGTATTCATAGACTGCATCAGCATTCCCTGCAGCGCTTTTGTCCTTTTTTAGTGGTGCTACTCCTCACGCTTCACTCAAAAACCAAACATGCGACCTGTGTAGTCCGATTTACGAATACATGACTTCATAAGTTATTTTTAAATGAATCATTCAAAAAGGCGTGCAAACTTTGAGATTTCCCAGTGATCCAAAAATATCACTGCATGAACTCACAGAGTGGCTACTGAATCCAAAAATTATGTCTGTGAATCATTAGTTCAACATAACCATTAGACTGCATGGTCATCTGTGTATTTATATATTTTTAAACTTACCCTTGAGAATAAACATGCAATGATATTGATAAGCAGGCATACCAAATGTGAAATTATGACCACAGAAAACATTAACCAAAATGTTTTTACTACATTTCACATCTTGTTTCTATTATGAAAGCTACCAGAGATATAGACAGAACAATTAGACTAGGATGAAGTAAGTTACTTTGCTCATTTTAGGTTAAACAGGAAATTTAAACTACAGAATAAACAGTTCAAAATGTTGGGGTTGGTAAGTGTCATGGTACACAAGGCAGAAACATGAGGTAAGAGTGCAAACAGGATGGTTTATTGACAGAGGCTGGCAATGTAGACAGAT